GGGCTTCCGTTTCTCATCTCCAGGGTGATAGTCACATGATGCTGCCTGTGTCCTGGAGGCCAAGATTGGCAATCATAAACTAAGACCACTAGAAAAGTGCTTGGGCTGGCTCACAGCGATTTTAGTCTGAGGACCTCGTATGCGTGGCATTAGAGTTCCTATGGATCTATGAAAATCCAGATAGGCATCGAATATGTGTTAGCAGCGTGGCAACTTGGTAGATATTTATTCCATATTGGCCACTGGTCAGATGAAGAAACTGAGTCCAAAGAAGAGGTTGGAGTGGGTGCAGTGGGTCACACCTGTAATCTCAGCTAGTCAGAGAGCAGAGGCAGGAGGATCTCCATCTGAGGTCAGTTCTGGGCAGAAATGCCAAATCCTTATCTGGAAACGATTAAAGCAAAAGGCCTAGGCACGTGACACAAATAGTAAAGCAAAGGTAGAGCTCAGAGTTCAAGCCTCAGTTTTACACCCCTCCCTACTGATGTTCGTGAAGAGAAGACATGGACTCTGTGTGTGTGCATGCGTGTATGTGTGCGCTTGAACTAGGACTTGAACTGTGCATTCTCTCTGCATTTTCACTAAAGCCTGGTGCTGTAACTTGAGCCACCCCTTCACTTCTGGCTTTTTTTTTTTTCTGGTTAATTGGAAATAACAATCTCACAGCCTTTCCTGCCCAGGCTGGCTTCAAACCCCAATCCTCAGATCTCAGCCTCCTGTGTGGCTAGAATCTCAGGTGTGAGCCACCAGTGCCCAGGGCCCTGCTTTCCTATTTTTTGTGTGAAGTCCCTTGCCCTCCCCTCACTGCACCGTGTCCCCTCTCCCCTGCAAACAGAGAGGAACCTCTGACCCCAGAGTCCCCACACACTGGGGATCAAAGCTGCCTCTTCTTTTGGGGTGGGGGGAGGGTGGGGAATTGCTGTGGTAGAAGAGAATTATAGGTGTGAGGGGGCTGAACTTAAAAGCCATGGTTTTATGGGGTGTGAATAAAGGCTGATGCATGGTGCCTGGAAACAAAATAAGGAGGCGCCCCGGTTCTACCCTCGCCCTCTGAGGCCCCAACGTGCCCAGGACTGGGACAGCACGTGATGCCAGGATGGAGCCGGCGGAGAGAGCAGAGGAGAGGATGGGGAGGTGGGAGGTCGAGAAGCTGGGTGCCAGTCACATGGGGACAACTGGGTAGGACAGCCAGCAGGGGAAGGTTGGGAAGCACCCAGACATCGGCAGGGAGAATGGATGGAAGTTTCTACCTTCTACCCCAAAGCCAGGTGGGTAGGGGAAGGGCTGCGATCTTTCTGGAAGCAGCTGTACACAGGTGGGGACACCACTAGTTGGAGATGTCCCCCAGATCCCCTCCAGGTGTCAGGAGAGGCCCTCCTGGGGGGCCTGGCCAGCGCTGCCGGGGGCTATGGTGTCAAAAAACGTGTGGCCGCTGGCCTTGGACGGGGCCAGGACAGAGAGTGGGCTCCGCTAAAAGTAAGCCATTCATGTTTGCACACAGTGTCCAGGCGCTCAATGCCCCGCCCTCCCCCCCCCCCGCCCCCCGTGCTGCCCGGGGCCGGGGCCAGGCTGAGTCAGAACCCACAGCTGCCCGGATGGGGACCTGTGCTGACCGGGATGGGGACCTGTGCTCTCCAGACCTCGCCAGGTTCTGGGTCCTCTGGGCATCTCTGCCACACTACCGCCCCCATGGGAGCCGGAGGCTGCAGGGTGGCGAGGGAGGAAATTTTGTGGGTTTTGTTCTTTTCCAAAACGAAAAGAATTTAACGGTGTACATATTAAACCAAAACAACATAAAAGGGAAAGTACAAGGAAGCAATTTAAAAAAAAATCTCCCTTATCCTCCTCCCCTACTTTCTAGAGGAAACACACATGTTTGGTGAGCATGTGCATACTTTTCAGGTGAATACATTTTCCTTTTATAAGAACAGGGTTAAGTCAACATTTGCTGACTGATTTTCTTAGTAACAAGTGATCAACAGCTTTCCACAGACTAACATGATCTGCTTAAAAGGAACATTGGGCCGGGTGCTGGTAGCTCACACCTGTAATCCTAGCTACTAACAAGGCTCAGATCTGAAGATAGTGGTTCAAAGCCAGCCTGGGCAGGAAAATTGGTGAAATTCTTATCTCCAATTTACTGCCAAAATGCTGGAAGTTGAGCTGTAGCTCAAATAATAGAGCTAGTCTTGAGCAAAAAAGCTAAGGGACAGCACCCAGGCTGTGAGTTCAAGCCCTGATGCCAGTAGACACACACATGTGTATACACACACACACACACACACACACACACACACACACACACAGAGTTTATAAGAAGACAGACAGAAATGTTTTTAATTTTACACATCAGAAGGTCCATGTTACAAATATTTCTTTCTGCTATTGTGACTTTGAAGTAGTCAAAGGTAAAATGTAAACAGATAGGTGTGGCTGTGTTCCAGTAAGGCTTTATTGACAAAACAGATGCTGGGCAAGTTTTGGCCCACAAGCCATAGTTTACCAACCTCTGATTTAACCTACCGCTAGACATTTAGAATATCTCAATTTTTTTCTATAATAGGAAATATGCTAGTAATGCCTGTATGTGTACATATAAATGTATGTGCATGTAATAAATACATGTGTGAGTCACATATGTGCAGGATTCATGCGTACAAGATTAATGCATATATCTTCTGTCTGAGGGTAAGCCTGGATGAATGGCAGGTGGGAGTCTGGCTGGGTTTTGGAGGAAAAGTTCTGTATCAGCCATGGCCTCAGTCTGTGCCAGTGAGCTAGTGACCCTGGTGGGCTCTTGTTCTGAGGGTCAGAGCATGGGAGCTGGTCACAGGGAGAGATGCTGGCAGAAAAACAGGCTAGCATATGAGTGTGCCTCGGTAAACGTAGCAGAATTAGAGTCCCTTTTGTTTTCATCTGATGCTGGGGATGGAACCCAAGGCCTTGCATGTGTGAGGTAGTAACCACTCCACTACTGAGCCATGCCCCAGGAGAAGAGGGTATGGAGGCTTTGTGGAGTCCTGGGCAACCTGGCCATGGCAAGGCCCTGCTTTGAAGGCCTCCGGTGCCCACCTGTGGCTGGGTGCGGGGCGCTGGACAGTTCAGTTGGGCATGTAAGATATTTGCTCTTACCCCGTTGGCTTCTCTCCACACCTTTCTTGGGTTGCCACAGCTCACTGGAAGCAAAGCTCATGGACCCCGCTTGATCAAGTCCATGGCCGCCTCTCTCACTCAGTACCTGAGACAAGAAATTCACCGAAGTTTATTTCTTGTAGTATAAGGAAGGCCAAGGCCAGGGTGTGGCTACCTGGGTGGGTACTGTCTGCTCCAAGATGGCACATCTGACCAGGGGGCAGAGAAGAGACTCGTCCCTCCTTGGTTGTCCCTTCCTGCAGTTTCCCAATGCTCTGCTCCTCTTTATTTGGGATTCCTCAGGGTCCTCGGGAGCAACCTGGTTCTGGGACTGTGGATGATGACTTCACACCTCATCCCAAGCCCTTTTCTCATTTAAGTCTGCCTCATGGATTCCCCCATGGCTTCCGGTCGACCTTCTGGGCTCATGACACTTCCACATTGCTGTCCCTTCCCAGCTCCTGGGTGGCTGAGCTCCTGGGACCTGTACTTGAGGTCCTATAGTGCTGCCACTTCAATAAGCCCTGACAGAACCAACCAATCATCGCCTTTCCTGAGCCCATTCCACCACCGCAGTCCCTAATTTGTAAGGGCCTTGGCCTTGTCTCCACTGACTTCGGCTTTGTTAATTGGGTTGCAAAGGTGATGGCTGATCTCTAGCCCTGGGCCAGGCCCCATGCACCTCAGAGCTTGGGGCTCTCCGGAAGAGTTCACCCCATGGAGGGGGAGCTAACCTCTCACTTGTTAACACATGAGGGAAACTGAGGCCCACTTACTTAATTCAGACCCAAAGATTGAGCTCAAGCCTGCCTCACTCTGGGACTCTCTGGGTTCCTAGCTCACTCCTGATCTCAGCCTACTATGCAGCCAGGATTATAGGCATGTGTTACTGTGCCAAGTTATGGGTAGAGGTAGAGGGGAGCCAGTCTCTGCATCATGGGAGGTGGGGGAAGGTGGCAGGGGGCCTCAGATTTGCTGCAGGCTTAGAGATGAGCAGTCCTTGCTGATATGGGGGAGGGGATGGGCCCCAGATCACTCACGGCTTTGCCCAAAATTCACTGAGGCAAGAAACAAGGCTGAGGGCATGCGCTGCACTGGGGCGAGGCCCTAGGATGGAGATACATGTGGAGGTGACAATGTGGAAAGAGATGGCAAGAAGACCTTGGACCCCAGGGTTGGTTTTGCACACATCTGTGACTCTTCAGAAGGAGTTTTGCTATGAAGCACAGAAATGGCATTTGTCCTGGTCCCCTTGCTTCCCCTCAGGAGATGCCCAGATGCTGATGCTTGGTTGCCCTCAAACACGGCCTTGTTGGTAGTTGGGTCTTCCTGGTTATGCTGACCTGAGGTCATCAGCTGATCTGATGGCTGGTGGTCCCATGAGAGGAGGAGAGGTGACAGGAGAAGTGACAGTGAGAGGAGAGGAAGGCCCCAGGAACGTCTGTGGAGGTGGGGACTGATGCCCCAGCCATCATGGCCTCAGAGGGGCCATCCCTGCCAGTGTCTTGGCCCTGAACTTCAGCCTCCATCCTGTAATTGTCGGTGGTTTCCGCTACCCAGTGTGCTGGGATTTGTTACTGCAGCCTGAGGAGGCACAGATGAGGAGCTGACCAAGAGGTTCCAGGCTTCCCCTCCCTCTGCCCAGGCCTCAGCTGCTGGCCCCCTCCTCCAAGTGGGCCTGGAACTTTCCTCAGGGCTCTGGCCAGCTGTTTCCACAGGCCCCACCCTCCCCTTGTTCTGCAATTGCTTGGAGGATGTCTGCATCCAACACCTTCCCCTGCCCGGAGGTGGGAAGGACCCGGAGCCCAGCCCACTTCATGTGTATTTGTGCAAGGGACATCGGGTATCCCTGGGCTGGCTTTGTCTGCCTGGCACAGGTCTCAAAGCTCATTTTGAAACACAGGTGCGGGAGCCTCCATCCCCTCTGTAAGTGTAAGCCAGTTTGATGGGTTTCTTCAGTACTTTGCCGGTGGGACATCCGGAGATGGCTGCAGCAGTACCTTGCAGCCTTGCGTTGGCCACTGAACCTGTACCACTGGGTTTTCCCTAAGTCAAATGGGGCAGAGTCTCCTTTTCTCTCTCTGACAGATGTGGGTATGTGTGTGTGGGAACCCCAACTTCATGCTCAAGCAGAGAAATAGGCATGTGAAACATGATCACAAGGGGCCCTACAAAAAGCGAGCCCTCCAGGGTGCTTGGAGCAGAGCCTGTGGAAGCTTAGAAGTAAGGGGAAAAAAATGTACACCACAGAACTTACCATCAGCAGCATTTCCAGGTGGATGGCTGGGACTGAGACTGATACTTTACTGTCCACCACCGACCAGCTCTAGAATGTTTTCATTGTGTAAAACCGAAACCATGTGCCTATTGAACCCCCCTCCACAGCACAGGAAACCACCATTCTACTTTCTCTCTCTCTGAACCTGGCTGATTCTGGTCCCTCATGCAAGTAGAATCAGGTGGCATTTGCTCTTTTGTGTCTGGTTTATTTCAACATCATGTCCTGGAGATTCATCCATTGTAGTTGCTGTCAGAATTTCCTTTTTTAAGGCTGAGTTCTATTCCTTAGGCTGTCTACACTGCCCTTAGCAAATCCATTTCCCCTGTGGATAGATATTTAGGTTGGTTCTTCCTTCTTTTTATTAGTGAATCATGCTATCTGGAGTGTGGGGTCTAATGAGAACTCTGAACTTTATACTGCATTTCCCCTTGGCTGCCTCGGTTATCCTAGCCATTCTTAGTGCTGTGGTTTTATCACCGGCGGGCACAAGAAATCCGGAAAGGCTGCAGTCTGTATTTTGCTACTGTTTAGCATAGGTGACATTTGCAGGGGACCTCTATGGGGGGGGGCACATATGTTAAACAATCTAGGGAATGGCTGATTTGAAGATCTTCCTGCAAAGCCATCTGCTTTATGTGTACTCTACTTTTTAACATGCCAGCAGTGGTTTTCGATTGAATACAAAGCCTTCCCGTCACCTGGTGTTTATATGACAGAGGTGGAGGGATAAACTCTGCTCATTAGCGGAGTGGATGGGCCTTCCTCCCCCAGGGGAACTTGGCCACGAGCTCAGGGCAGGAGTAGACTGCAGATGTCAGGTCACACCTGGGGTGAAGCTTTCCTTGAATCTCAAGAACAGTGCAGCCGGGCGAGGTGCCGGTGACCCACACACGTAATCCTAGCTACTCAGGAGGTCTGAGGATTGAGGTTCAAAGCCAGCCAAAGCAGGAAAGGTTAATTTGTTATCTCCAATTAGCCACCAAAATGCTGAAGGTGGAGATGTGGCTCCAGCTTGGAGTGAAGAACAACAGTGTCCAGGCTTTGAGTTCAAGCTCAGTTCTAACATAAAACAACAACTGTCCTCCGCCCCACCCTAGACCTACTCAGGTTCTAGAGCACAGGAGGTCCCACCAGGGTGGCTGGGTCTACTCTCATCCACTGCACAGCCTCCTCTGCTCCCGCCCAGAGCGCTGTGGAGGCCCAGAGGTGGGAGGGGTTCGGAGGCAGCAGCAGCAAGGAGACTGTGTGAGAAGGCAGAGTGGGCCAGGCTCTCTCCACCCTGTGTGCAGACCAACGCCGTGCCAAGCCCTGGATAAGGCTGCAGCCCCTGTCACTCTCCATGGGACAGAAGCGTGCCCAAGCCCTCCATGGTGCCTGTTCCAGGACAGGGCTGGTGGTTTGGTCCCCTTCCTTCCTGTCTTTGCTGTGCGAGCCAGGGGACGGGGAGCCTCCATGGGTGTTTGGCTGTTCTCTCTGTGCAGGCCACGGTCCCTGGGGTCTCCATGCAGCCCGGGATGCTCCCCTCACACTCCTGCCTGCATCTGGTCCCTGGTGTGGGAAACACAGAGTAAACACAGCGAAGGACTGTGAGGCTGAGAAGAGATTTCCACAAGCAGCCTTAGACCAGCGCCTGCTCTTTGCAGACAGGCTTGGAATGCTGGACGGGGTCTGGCAGAAAGTGGGGAACAAGACATGCTATGTGGGCCTTGTGGGCACCCCGAGGCAGAAGACACCTTATCCAAACACCAGTGGGTTAGGAAGTTTCAGCCCTCTGACATCCCTGCAGTACTGGGGGTGGGGGGTAGGGGGGGGATAGGGGTGGGTGGGAGGGTGATCCAGGCCCAAATGGAATCTTCTAGTCTTCCCAGCAGCCAGGCTGGGCTGGGTGCGAGTTTGCGGGACTCGTTACTGCGCCTGCCTGCGTACTGCTTCCCAGTGAGTGCAAAGTGTGAAAGGGCGACAAAGGACAAAAGGTCGAAGGGTACAGCAGTGGGAGAGGAAATCAAAATAAAAACAGGAAGTGGCCTGCGTGGGGATTTTCCACCAGAAGGCTGGGAAAGTGGTCCTGACAAAACAAGAGAAAGGAAGAGCAGAGCAGTGCCCTGTCCTCCATCCTCCCTAAGCTCCTGGAGGTGTGGGGTAGGCCTCAGCAGCAACTCCATGGACGTGGGGCTGGGGAATGGCACCCAGACTGGAAACCAGGAGCGGGGGCTTTACCCTGGCCACAAGCCCATCTTCCTGCTCCCTGCCTGCTCTGCTCAGCCTCAGGTTTGGTGGCACAGGGGCGGGTGTGCTGAGTGACAGCAGGTAGAACACAGGCCTCCATCTGTGGGGCTGGGTGCCCCTGCCCACGCCCACCAGCACCGCCACTTGTGGGAAACAGCCTCTTCTCTGCTCTGCTGTAGGCCTCGGCATCCCTGCCGGGGCTCTCCGTCTCCACCTCTACCTAGGGCAGGAAGACTTCCTGGAGATCTCACCAGTGGGCAAGGGTCTGAGTGGGGGAGAGGGATGGGAGCCCTGGGTTGGGCTGAGGACAAAGGGGGTAAACCAAGGGTCGAGGGTGAAGGGCTCAGGTAGGGTCAGGCCGGGCACCGGCAGCTTGCACCTGTAATCCCAGCTACTTCAGAGGCTGAGACCTGAGGATCCCATTTCCGAGCTGGCCCTGAAAGGAGTCTTGTGAGGGAGGCTCTTATCTCCAAGGAGCCAGCAAAAAGCCAGCAGTGGAGGTGGGGCTCAAGTGGTAGAACTCCAGCTTTGAATGAAAAAGCTGAAGAACTAGCCGGTGGCTCACACCTGTCATCCTCAGGAGGCTGATATCTGAGGATCTCCGTTCAAAGCCCAGTCCGGGGAGGAAAGTCCGTGATACTTTTATCTCCAATAAACCACCAGAAAACCAGAAGTGGGGCTGTGGCTCAAGTGGTAGAGCATTTGCCTTGAGCTGAAGAGCTGAGGGACAGCACCCAGGCCTAGAGTTCAAGCCCCCGACTGACAAAAAAAAAAAAAAAAAAGCTGAAGAACTGTACTCAGGTCCCAAGTTCACACCTCCCTCCCAGCTCATGAAGAAAGCAGAAGTCGAGGTGTGGCCCTGTGCCCGTGCTGTGTCCCTACTCTCCTGAGTCTTCTGGGGCCCCGTGGAAGGGGCTGCTGGACTGGAGAGGCCTGTGGCTCACCAGAAGAATTCCAGGTCTGTCCTCGCTGCACTCATCCTGAGACCTATTTTAGGCCCGGGTATGAAGGCAGTCAGTGCTCTCTATGTGCCAGCGGCCCCAGTGCTGGCAAATCAGACACGTGCACCATCAGGTCCAAGGTCAGCCTCTCCAGGAACCACAATTTTGCTCAAAACCGACTGTGAAGCAGGTGGCAGGAAATAAGTCTTGGCCACCACAGCAGTTGATGTGTGAATTAGGAATTCAAAGGACTTGTCTTTTGGAGAAGTGAAACAAATTCCTTTTTTTGTGCTTCTCCATTGTCTCCACAGTCCCCTGCTGGGGGCGGTAATGGAGCTGTCATTCTGTTCACCCAGAGGAAAGGGCTGCAGAATCTGACTTCCTGGGAAGGAAGCCAGTCAACCCTGGATTTCAAGCCCCGGTGATTACTCGGGCCCGGCTTGGCCCACAGCTTGTTTTGTTGATAAAGTTTTATTGGCACGTGACCGTGTCCAGTTGTTTACATGGATCAATGGCTACTTTCACAGTACAAGAACAGAGCTGAGTAGCTAGGATGAGATTATGCCTGAAGATCACACCTACCCCCAATGTATTCCCTAGAGCTTCAAAAATAATGTGACAAGTCATTCTTCAGTTCGTTAGTCCTTAGATTCTCTTGTGCGAGAATCTCTTTGAAAATATAGTGATGTACATATATCTATATTACTATACACATCTATCACATACATAATGTCTCCTCTGTGAGAACAATGTGTGGACTCCTGGGTAAGAATGTCCACAGGTCGCTACACAGACTCCAGCACAGGTCTGGGTTGGTCGGGATATTTAGCCCATTAGGGGAGCAGCTTCTAAGGGTGTGGAGCCCTCCTCTGGGTTGGCTGTCAGCGCTGCTCACCTCAGTGGCCTGGTAGTGATAAAGTCAGCCTTGGATGACAGGCCAGGGGAGGCCAGCTCTCTGCTCTGTCACCCTCATACGGTGTGACCTTCAGCCAGTCACTTCACCTCTCTGGGCGTTGGTTCCCTCACGTACCTAAAGAGAGGAGATGTAGGTGATTTTCTAAGGAGCCATCTTGACTTGAAGTTCAGTGATCTTCAGAGGCCTGTGTTTGGTTACTGCGGGTAAAGAGGTGTAGGGTGGTGGTTTCTGTGTCCTCCAGACATTTGACTGACTGCCCAGAAAGGTCTGTGGTGGTTCACTTAGTTAATTCTGAAATCTGAGGCATGTGATCGGGTGACCACACTGGGTATTTGGCATCTGAGGAGAAAGTCGGTCTGTTGTGATCTACAGAGTGCTGTTACACAAGAGAGAGGACTCACACGCCTCCACGGATCGGGGCTCTGGAGGGACAGCTGGAGCCTAGGCCGGGGTGGAGTGTCGAAGAGTCACCTTCTAGGACAGATGCAGCCGGTCAAGGAGCCTCGGCACTTTCAAATTTGTGCTGCTTTTGTTTCGGAAATGAAAAATTGGCTTGTTTTCCAATTGACTCTATTGCGACAATCATCTCTGCACTTACATGTTTTCCCTGCATTGTCTATGCTGTTCACCTGAGAATAAATTCCTAGAAGACTCACTTAGGGATAATAGTGGTGATCAGGGAGAGCACGTGACAGCTCCTGGGGGACAGGAAAGCACCAAGCCATTTCCCCACTCCGCCACATTGTCAAGAGTTAATGTTTTGGCCCATCAGATGGGTAGATGCTCAGGTTTTACTGTCGGGTTGATTTGCATTTCTCAGATCTTTTTCCCTTTCAGGCAAAAAATAATACTGACCCGAGAGGGCCTTATTGCTGTGTGAGAAGCCTGGGCTGGTGTGGGCCCAGACACATCTTATTTAGAGAGGGCAGGGAGGGACGAGAGGCCAGCACAAAGGGACATAAGGTTCACTGTTGCTTTGATTTATGGCTTGACTGGTGGTCACGTTCAGGAACTTGCTGAACGGCACACGATCTAGAAGGCCCATAGTCTTGTCACAAAGGGCTTTGAAGGACAGGGTTGACATTTGTCCTTTCATTGCAAGGATACAAGAAGATGCCCACGTCCTTGTTGACATCTCTGCTCTCGGCCGGATCTGGCTGATCTAACTGCCCTTGCTCTCTCCCACTGCTCTCCCTGCTAGTCTACAAAATGACAGCTTCACATCAGTGAATGCAGCCAAGAAAAGCTTGAGAAGACCAGAAGACGCCCGGTGCCTGTGCCCCGGCATGTGGGGATGATGGCAGGCCAGGAGGTTGGTACATGGGGGGGGGGCAGCCTTGCCCGGGACCTCTGTGGTGACCTTGTGTCACCAGGGCCAGCTGGGGCGGGGAAGCTGGGGCTGGGGCTGCTCCAGCCGGGCCTGGCGCGCAGCGGTTTCCTGGCCGTTGCTCGCCGGTGATGATTCATGATGTTTGGAAAGTGCGGCTGGGCTCCGAACAGGGAAGTGAAAAATAACACAGTCAAGGTCAGCGCGGGACATGCACAGAGCGTCTCAGCCAGGCAGCCTTGCTCTGCAGCACATGGGGTGGGGGCAGTGGGAACCTCAGGCCCTGGGCCCTGCCTGCTGCTCTCCTTGGCAGCACCAGCTTCCCCGAAAGGTGGGCGCTCATTTGTCCCTGTGAAGCGGCTGCTGGTCAGCGTGGAGCTGCTGTGGGAGGAGGAAGGGGAGGTGACACAGTGAGTGTCGGCTTCCTCTCTGACTCAGGGCTGGGTGTATTTCTCAGGGTGGTGCCAGGGGGCACTGTGTGGCTTTGGTTGGATTCTTTGAGTTTGAAGTCAACACCAAGACTGACCAGAGAGGCAGAGTGACACGCTGAGCCTTGCTCCCTGATGGGGCCTGGGGCCTTCTGGTGTCAGGCACACATTCACGGTGGAAGGCTGAGGTTCCGACTCTGTGCCCAGCCCAGGCACCTTTGTCTGGGAAGCCATCTGGGGGTACAGCTGGGCCCAAGGGGCCCAAGACTAGAGGTAGTTGGTCCATCTTTCTGCGGTCCACTTGTCCCTCTGGCTGGGGATGTGATCAGAGTGCGCGGCTAGGAGTTACGGCACACTGTCCCTGACTGAGGCCTGCAGTCCTGCCAGCCCCCAAAACCCACGCCTATGGTTCTGCCAGCCCCCAAAACCCACGCCTGCGGTTCTGCTAGCCCCCAAAATACATGCCGCGAGCATGGTGGCTGTGCAGGCGTCGTCCCTACCAAGAACATGTGACAGCGAGGAGGCTCACCTGATGAAGGCCTGAGCCCCAGTGCCTACTGCCATCACCTGGGATGGCCACCATTGTTCTCTTCTAGCACATTCTCTGGGCTCCTCCTCTCCCTTCCCTCCATGCTTCTTTTATTGCACAGTCAGGACTGAAGGACAGCTGGTCCAGCTCAGGCAGGGCATCCCTGTCACCCTGTATCCAGCGCAAGTCATCTCTAATGGTGGGGTGTGACCTAGAAGGGTCACAAAAGCAGGGAGCCCCCCCTACAGCCCGGTGCTCCCTTTCCTGTCAGCTCAGTATCCTGTCACCTTGATGTCAATTTCTCTGATGCCCTCGCTCTACCTGGCTCTTGCTATGGTGCCATGCCCTCCTTGCCAGAGGGACTGGTGGAGGTGAGAGGGGGGCTTTGTGTCACGGGCTCTGTTATGGAGGTAGGTGAATGGGGCTGAGGGCAGCCTGCCCTGGGTTCTGGGCTGAGCACTGTAGAAGGTATCACTGAGAATCCTCCGGGCCTCCCTCAGCCCTGGAGATGAGGGGCATGGTCCTTTGTTTCCTAGCTGGACTGTCTGCAGGAGCATGCTGTCTTTTCTTCTCCATGTTGGGGGCACATGGCTGCTGTGTGATTGCTTGCAGGTGTGGCGAGGTCACAGGGAACGAGGCAGTTCTCAGAAGCATGGCTAAAACAAAAGCAGGTAAAACCCCCCAGAAAGTCCCTTCCAGGGCTGAGGAAATGCCACACACCCCGGGCGCCTGGGCAGGAAGGGCAGGAAGGATGGGCTGTGTGCAGACTGCAAGGAGAATGGTCTGGAAGTCAGTTGTCAGGTGGCTGCCATGCGGGGGAGGGGGAGTAGGAAGGGGGCTGCACAGCTGCATCTGTGTGACCAGGGATGGCCGTGCAGGGCCTGGCTGAGGGCCAGGCTGCTCTTTCTAGGGCCCGGGAGAGACTCTGGACAGGAACGAGTTCAAAGTTCACAGGCCGTGTCATGATCAGGCGACAGTCAGCCGAGCCTGCCCCTGCGTGCTCCGACTGATGTCAGAGGAACCCTGACCTCACCTTGTCACCTCATTCCCATCTGGAACTCTCTGAAGATGGAGTGAACGCCCTCGGTGCAGACAGTGACAGGGGTGTGTGACGTGGCAGGTCTGAGCACTGGCCTCAAGGTTGCTGCCTCCCAGTGCCTCTCCTCCTGTGTCCTTCCCCAGAAACACAGCCTCCCTTCCTGAATGTTGCGGAGATTGAGGATGTAGCAGCTTTTGCTCTCGGTTTGCAGGGTTACATTGTCCCAGGACGGAGCCCCAGGTGGCCCACGGCAGCTGTGGTGGCCTGCGTCTGGCCGAGCTCTGCATAGCTAACCTGTAGCCTCGTTCATGGGGTTTTTGCTTCCACTGTGAAGCGTTGAGCAGCTGTGAGCCAAGGATATGGGCAGCGGGGGTGAGGGGGTGGAGGGTGCTCCTTGGATTTACAGGTGGCTCAGGGTGGGCAGCAGGGGACTCAGATTTCACCCCTCCTCTCTGGACGAGGATGGGCGACCCTTTGTTCTCTCTGCAGCTCCATCCTAAGTGGAAGCTGCCGGCGGCGGTGGCTCATCCTCTTGTCCTCTTGACTCTGGGGTCATCACGAGTCACTCAGGGCTGACCCACTTGTTCCAGGACTGTCATTTCATCATTGAGTCATGGTGACACATGGCTTCTAGCCTGTGTCCACTGCAAGGCACAGTGCCAGGGCCACGGTGAGGCTCTGCACATGCGTGCTGGCTTGCCTTCCCTGCCTTCCCACCCTGCCTTTGTTATGGTCCTGAGGCCTGTACCACGCCCCCCTCTACCCGTACACCCCTCTCCCCTGCCCCCCCCACTCCCAGACCTTGTGGGGATTTGCAGCCTTCTTGGGGGAGATCTTTGAAGAGGTGGTCAAGTGAAGAAGGGGTTCCTAAAGTGGACATAGTTCAGTCTGACCCGGGTCCTTCTGAGGAGATGAGAGACATGGACAGCCACAGAGGGACAGACAGGCCGAGCACGGGGAGAGGATGGTGTGCAGAGCAAAGGGGGAGGCCCCGGGAGAGCCCACCCTGCCTGCACCTTGGTCTCATACTCAGATTCCACACTCTGAGGAAAGAAGCCTCTGCTGTGTAAGCTGCTGGTCTCTGACAGTCCTACATCTCAACTTGTTTGCTGGGCATGTAACTGGCCCTCTGCCTGGGTTTTAGACCTAGACATGGAAGTAGAGAAATACAGAGAAAGAGGAAGAAGGGGCCTGTCCCTTCTCCTTCATTCTCTCCTCACTTCCATCTTCAACAGAGAGTAGAAATTTGGGGGTGAGAGTGAAACATGGGGCTCCACCCAGAATCTCTGGAGTGGACGGAAATGCTCTAGTGTAAGCTGAGTGGTGTTGCTTCCTTCTGCCCAAACCTCCCATGTCTCTCCTTTAGCTCACTGTGCACAAACGAGGCCAGTCAAGGCGCACGGGCCTGCCGTTGGGCTGACCCTATGCATCTCCGGAAGACCAGGACGGGTCCCAGCCACTGCAATTGTGCTGTGAAGTGGCGGCTGGCCGAGGGCACTGGCATGCCGGCGCACCGAGGCTGCTGGGGCCAGGGCCAGGGCCAGCAATTCTCTGCGTCAGGATTATGGTGTCTGAATTTGATGCCAATGTTCTGTTTCTGCTGAACTACCGCAGGAAGATGATGGACAACTGCAGGCCCTGGCCATCTTGCCTGTGGGTCATTTTTTGGATCTCCGGGCGGGTCCCCAGCCTATGAGGCCAGGCCCATCTGACAGCCACAGGAATATCCAGATCTCTGTAGTGCTTGTCGTCTGTGGTATCTACCATTTTGCATCTAAAACAGTTCCTGTCATGCAGTCGTGCCACTGACTGGGAATGGGAACAGGTCAGGGTCTCTTTGCAATGCTAGCTCAGCCCATAGATTTTTTTCAAAAGGGAATACGGATTCGAGAGCTCACTGCTGACCTGCCAGCCCGCTCAGAGCTGCACGCCACGAGTCCCCGCAGGAATGTGGCTGAAATCGGGCTGTGTGGTGGCTGCTGTGTGTGCTGGGGGTGAGTTAGCAAAGCACAGTCACTTTCCTCCCTGGCAGTGGTGATCCCGGGGCCTGGTGGCCTTTCTTCACTTCATGTGGGGGTTGTGCAAGCTTCCGAATGCACACGTCCCGGCGATGGCCCAAGAGCCCACACAGCAAGTGACACAAAGCCCCTACATGCTCGCCCCCCCGCCCAGGGCCCACTTCCTCCATTGGCTTCCCCTACCACCCTCAGTCCTGCCTCTTCCTCCTTCTCCCTGCTCACTACCCAGCGGTCTCCTCACTTCAAGAGCCCTTGGGTCGCCCTTCCCTGAGCATGTGATGACTTCTCAAACACCCGAACTGTCAAAATCAAGGAATCCATTTCCAGTGCTCGATGGGACCCCAGGAGTCTGTGCTGCTCCCTCAGAAGAGAGGCTATGGGGTCTGCAGTGTGTCTCTTTCCTTGGTGCATGTTGCCTTTGCACACCCAGTGTGCAGACACTGGGGGTGAGGTGGGCCTGCCCTAGCCGTGCTGTGCTGTCCTCTAGGGCATTGATTACACACCCTGCTGCAAGTGGAGAGCAACTCGGCTCTTGGTGTCTGACCTCCAGTCCCGCAGTCAAGTGGATTAGCTGGCCAAAAGAAGCCACACACCTATAGTTTCCAACTCCTAACTCTTCCCCACCATGTTCTGATCTCACACATGTTGGCTCATTCATTAGACCGAGCCCATAACCATGCCCAGGGGTTTTCTGTGACCTGGTGCCTTCTGGTGTATTCTAGCTATGGGGACTCAGGCAAGTGGCCGGTAGATAAAAGGCTTGGTTTGGCGTGACTCATCCGTGGAGACACCCCACCCTTGAGGCCTGGGTTGTTAAATGTCTTGTTCCTGTAAATATTGACCACTGAAGACCATCTCTGATTTGTTCTGGAGGAGTGATCTGGAATGAATATAGGGACCATCTCTGATTTGCTCTGTAGGAACGATCTGAATGAATATAATTGGTGATTATGCAATGCTCATCATTTGCTGAGGTTCAGCCGCTACTAAACATCACCCCATTATCCTCTTCCTCCGAGAGACTCCTCCATTCACTCATGTGCAACTCAGACTCAATCTACAATGGGGTCTGGTACAGCCAGGAGTGTGTGCTCTGTCAGACTGGCCAACAGCACTCAGGGCCACTGGTCTCCAGGGTGACCAGTGACCTTGCCAAGAAGCAAAAGCAGCAGGGAAGTGCAGAGGTCATAGGTCAAAGCACCGAGGGATGGGGGCATAGACCACTGTCTGGAATCCGGGGCTAGCCCCTGCTTGTGCCTTTCCACTGTGGTTTGGTCTGGGGCTGGTGGACCTGCCATCTCTCTCTTCCGGTCAGCGCCCTTGAGCCTGTCAGCTCCACCTTGTAGAATAGACTACCCTGTCATCTCCCTTTCTGATGACTTTCGAGGAGTTGTTTTCTGAACATCTGATGTTTTCCTTAGGGCCTGGCAGTTTGGCTTAGTGGGCATTCTCACTGGAGGGGCCTCCTGTGAAGCTGGCCCCCCGAGGAGTCCTTGTTTATTTCCTGCACCTGCCCTGGCTGAGGGTTTGTCCGACTAAGCCAGCAGATGAGCCTGGAGCGTGGGTCATTGGTAGACAAAAAGCTGGCCCAAAGCTCTGGGTAGAGGATGAGCTTATCTATGTTCTGTCTGTCTGTCTGTCTCGCACACACACACCTGCACACACCCTTTGTAAAAGGAACCCTGCTTCATTTGTGCCAGCTCACCTTCCTGGGAGAAAGAATGAGCCACTGCTTTGCCACTGACTGCCATGTGGCTTGGGCAGCTTACTGGCCGCTGCTGAGCTTTGGGATTCTTACATGGGAAGTGAGGGCCAGGATGCTGACCTCTGAAGGTCAGTGACAGTAGAGATGATGTATTTAGCATGTTCAAAAGTGACCCTGTGCATCGCAGTTTTCTCCAACCTTGGGACCCCGGTCAGTCCTGGAGGGAGGCTGAGGAATCAGTAGAGCCAGGAGATGCTCTGTGACAGCACGGACAAGGTAAGCTCCAGGAGAGGAAGCTGGTGGGGGGGGAGGTAGGGGGAAGCTGCCTCTGGCAGGACACGTCTGGGGACAGCCATCCGTGCTCATCTCCCACAGGCAGAGACCACCCCAGGGCCACAATGTCCCACCCAGCGCAGGGACACCAGGAAGTGGAGCACACAGACTTCCCCATCCCGACACTCTGGCTGCCAGGAACCAGGGCTGCACTCCCCCCTCCCCCCTCCCTACCCCTCCTCCCTCGGGCCTCTGCCCTGTAGACCACAGGACAGCACGGCCGTGACCCTCAGGACAGAGAGGACTGTGGAGGCCAATCTTAAGCAGGCAGGCTGTGGCGGGCCCACCGGGGCTAGTCTGGTGCCCCCTCTTAGTGGGGTGCTCACCCAGTTTCTCAGACTGTTCAGGCTTTTCTTCCTTGCTGTTTTTGAGTGTCCCCAGAGAAGTGACGCGTGAGAGCCTGGCGGTGTGTTGCTGGTCACAAGGGTGCCACAGGTGTGTCCCCAACCAGATCATCATGCCACAGCCACCCCTCCCCCCTGCCGGGCCCCTCACAAAGCCCTGGCCCTGGTCATTCTCTTTGTCACCTGTCTGTCTGTCTGTCTGTCTGTCTCTCTCTCTCTCTCATGCTGCTGTGAGTTAAACCCAGGGCCTAGAGCATGCTGGGTAAGTGCTCTATCACTTGAGCTATACTTGTGCCTTTTTGGCCTTGTAATTAATTTTTAAAACTAGGGTCTCACTAGCTTTGTTCAGGCTGCCTGGCTGGGAACTTGGGGTATGCCTGCTTCCGCCTCCACCTGCCTCCCCAAGAGCTCCCAACATGCACACATACACACATGCATACACAAACACACGCACATGCATGCACTCACACATGCACGCATATGCACACACACTTTCGTACATGCACACAGTGCTTTTCAGGTTTCTGCTTGCCTGTCTGCCTGCCTGCCTTCCTTCTTTCCTTCCTTCCTTCCTTCCTCTCTCTCTCTCTCTCTCTCTCTCTCTCTTTTGGTACTGGTACTGGGGCTTGAATTTAGGGGTAGGGAATTTTCCCTTAGTTTTTCCACTTAAGGCCAAAGCTTTACCAGTGGAGCCATGTTTCCACTTCTGCTTCTTGCTGATTCACCAGCCATAAGAGTCTCAGGAACTTTTTGGCCCAGGCTTACTCTGACCTACGATGCTCGGATCTCAGCCTTCTGAATAACTAGAATTACCAGCGTTGGCTCATGTGTGTTTCTTCATTGCTCATTCGGAGACCCTGGGTGGGGACCTGCTCCATGCCAAAGGCCCTCCACAGGCTGCTGTCCAGACCACAGAGGGGCGGAGCAGAGGGAAGGCGGTGGGGAGGAGGGAGGAGCACATCCTGAGTGTGCCCGCAGCCTGTCTGCAGCTGGCGGGATGAGGAGAGGTCCTGCCCAGAGTGGCAGGGCCACGCTGCCCCTGTGACCAGCTGGCCTGGCCGCATCATACTCAGAAGTCAGGTCACACCTACAGCGGGACTGCCAGGCTGGCCCTGGGTTCTGAGTTACCCTTGTTAGAACAGCTGGGGGCAACCTCAAGGGACACTGTGGGGCCAGGCGAGGAGCTGCACCTTGCCTTGGTCTAGATACTTCTGTGCTGACCCTTTACCCTGTTGGCAAAGGCAAGGGAGTGGGTGCCAGCGTGAGTAGGGGAGCAGGGTGCATGCTCCAGGGATGGATTTCAGGCAGCTGGAGATCAGCGTGTGTCCCCTCACAGACAGACAGACAGATGGGACAGACCAGCACATGTCCTCAGACAGACAGGATAGCCGACCAAACCAAGCTGGGCAGGAATGTGTGGCCACCAGCTTCCTGCCCTTAGTTACCTGTGGTTCTAACGTTTTCTAATCTGCTCACCTCCCACCATGGCCTTTTGGAGACTGTGAACTCTGTGGCGAGACTCTGAGGGGCGGAGAGCGTGGGGGGAGAAGGAAAAGGGGAGAGGGGAGAGAGAGGAGAGAGAAATTTCGCTGACGTCAAAGAAGACCACATTGTGACAGGATCACATTACTTGTACCTCAACCACCCACAGCCTCTAATGTACTAGAAACCAAATGGCCTGTTTTGAAGCCTGTAATGATTGACTTTTCTTTCTTTCTTTTCTTTTCTTTTTTTTTGCTATTATTATTTGACCAAAGGGCCATTAATCGCTGGGGGTTTGAAAGCTACCTGGTTTCCTGGAACAGAGAGGCATTTCCCAGAGTCCTCATCGGTCGCTGCTTGTGTGGCATAGCAGCGAGAGGAGGACACGGCTCCAGCTGCTCCCGGTGCCAGCTGAGGCTCAGTCGGGGCAGCAGCTGGTGCTGTCCTGTGGTCCGGTAAGCTCATTCCTGTGTCCTCATACCCCGTGTGCACCTCCGCATCCCACACCCCTCGAAGGCTCCCCCACCATGCGGCCCAGCTGGCTTTGCAGGGTGAAGGTGATGCTGTCTCTGGACACCTCTTAATGGGGGATGCAGGCTAGGAAGGGGGGTGGGGGTAGGCGACCCCGGTCCCAGCTCCTTCCTGTGGTTCCCGTCAGCATGACGGCCTGGGCCTGTTTGGGCTTCCCGAAGCTTCCCTCGGTCCTGTGGTCCAGACACCCAGGGTGTATTTACAAATAAAATCACAGTTGGCAGCAGGGGCCAGCACCCGAGGCTCCTCACTCAGATGGGAGAGGCCATGCCACTGGCTGGCCACGGCCACCGAGTTCACTTTGGTCCTAGTAAAAGACAAAAAAGAAACACCACATCTATGGGTGTTTATCAGCTTGTCGCTTGTTTCCAGCCAGGTCATTTCTCTCCTACACTTTTTTTTCTGCGTTCAGATGGCCTCAGGGGTGTCCTCCACACCACCCCTTGTCACCCTCCCTGGATAACAATATTTGGCTACTTTAGCTAGGATCCTTAAATAGCTTTCTCCTCCTCCTCCTCCTCCTCCTTCTCCTTGGGACTTGAATTCAGGATCTGGGCTCTGTCTCTGAGCCTTTTTGTGCTCAAGGCTAGTGCTCAACCACTTGGAGCCACAGTGCCACTTCCAGAGAGATAACAGTCTCACAGACTTTTCTGCCCAGGATGGCTTTGAACTCTGATCCTCAGATCTCAGCCTCCTGAGCAGCTGGGATTATAGGTGTGAGCCACCGTGCTTAGCTCTTGCCATCTCTTCAAGAGAGATTTAACTCCATCTTCTAGAACATGTCTTTTGCCCGATGTCTCAGAGATCTGGGACTTTCTGAGTATGTGTGCTTCACCACTGGAAATACTATCCCATGCACCATGTGCCATCCCCACAAAGCCAATTCCTTGCACTGCT